TAGCAAATCCACATGTTTTTCTGATGGGAACTTGGGTCCCCCTCGCAGCGAGGGTGCAGCGAGTCGTTTGGCTGATGTAGAGCGTAGTGCATATATGAATATGTTTGGTGTGTTTTTTTAGGTATATTTGCTTTTGACAGAGTAAACGCTTTTATTTTGAAGGCAGTTTTTACAGGATATTCGCACACCGCAATCAGACCGCAATACAACGTGCGGGCTGGCTTGACTTTAGAGGCTTCTCAATTCTTAAATGTCCCCTCCTCGACTCCCATCCTCGAGACTTAGTCCCGCCCACAGGAGATGCGAGCGGAGGACCGAGGAGGGGAACCGAGGAGAGAGGAGGGGAAGCAGCAGACGTTTAAAGAAATGAGAACTCCTCTCCTCTGAGCGGTCATTTTAAAGAGCCGTCCGTTCATTATTACGTGGCAACAGTTGCATCAGCTGTCGAGTGTTTTGTCACAGCGCTGTATTTTATAATCTCTGTTAGATCAGCTGAACATTGTTCCCCCACATATTTACTTTGAATTCATTGAGAGTGCGGTATAATGAGACAATAACAGGCTACAGATGCGGACACACACACACACAAATATATTTAAAGTATGAGAGCACTCTCATAATAACGTAACACAATCAGAGACTGGATATATATCCTCTCTCTGGTCGCTGAAATGGGGAATTGAAATTACGGGCCGAAAGTTGTATTTACAAGTAGGCTATTAAAAGTAAGCAGAGGACACCAAACCAACTGAGAACCGTCTGTGCGCCGCATCTACGCACTGTACAACACACCTACACACTGTACCACACAGTGCTTTAGTTTAGTAGATATCTACAAACAAAGAGTCAATATTTTTTCCAAAACCATTTAGTCCTTCACATAATAAAATACACAACGGCTGTAGACTGATTATGCTTTAGGAGCTGTAGGTTTGTGTGGTACAGTGTGTAGGTGTGTGTGGTACAGTGTGTAGGTGTGTGTGTGTGGTACAGTGTGTAGGTGTGTGTGTGTGGTACAGTGTGTAGGTGTGTGTTGTACAGTGCGTAGATGCGGCGGACAGACGGGTATCAGTTGGTTTGGTGTCCTATGCTTACTTTTAATACTTGCTGTGAGGTCCTGCTAGTTTTATTTAATCCGGGTGTAACTAAAGTCTTATTTAAGTGTTGTTTGTTTGTAGCCTTTATTTAAAATCCCATTGAGATCAAACGATCTATTTTTCAAGGGAGACCTGCAAAGTTGGTTAGACATGAAAACAGAAAAACAACAGAAAATAAAAAGGACATCATACAACATAATTACAGGGGTACAATTTACAAACCTATCGACAGGTACCAAGATTATCATTTCAAACCGGAGAGACGTGATGTAAGAATTACATATTTATTGTTTACACGTCATATGAATGAAATGATTGCCATGATAATACAACAGGAGAATGTAATGGTGTTTGGCGATTAGGCCCCGGTTTGCAAGATAATCATTCAGGAGGGAAAGCACCGCTCCGATGAAATCCCCGGGGTCTAGACACTGGTGGTGGTGCTGAGTAGGTGAGACCGGTCTGAAGAAGGAAGGTTTAGCTTTGTCCTGGAGGAGACTGGAGGCGAGAGGGGTGGAGGCGGGTTGCGGTCATCTGCAAATGACAACTGACAGGGAGGGAGAGCAGGCATTTAAGGCATTTAGCATGTGCAGCTATTGGCTGCTGAGGGGTGACGCCCTCATATTTAATGAGGGGGGAAGGGAGCCATAGAGTGACGTGTAAGTGACTCGTGTTAGGTCTTCCTTATTGAACTTGCGCTAAAGCTTTCATATGTCATTGCATCTAGCCGTGCTTTAAAATGATGCAGGGGAACCAAGATGCTCAGTTTCAGTTCTTTTTGCAGAGTGTTCCAAGCTAGAGGAGCTGCGCACATAAAAGCTTTCGTACCTAAATCAGTCCTAGCACTTGGCACATGTAACAAAAACATATCCTGTTGTGTTGATTATATTTCAAATATATATATATATTTCATTAATCCAAATCTGCAAAGTAACTAAAGGTATTACATTTAGTGGAGTATAAGCCTACACATTTACCACCAAAAAATGTAAATACTCAAGTAAAGTACAAGTAACTCAAAGTACAGTACTTAAGTACAGTACTTGAGTAAATGTACTAAGTTACTTTGCACAACTTATTATTAATGCAAAACTACCTGCTAGCCCAGTTTGTGCATTTAGTTTAGAAACAATTCAACCCAGTCTCAAGGCATTTTGTGTTATAGTCACGAAATGAATCTATTGATTCGTGTTCACCAACACGATTTCCCCATTTTTTTCGTGTCACATAGTTAATTAATAACAAATTAGAAGGAAAAAAAGATTGAAAAAATACAGATTTCAGTATTCTGACACAGAACGATTTTAGAAGCAATGTATTTCAATTGGTAGTATCTTTCGTGCCTGCACCAAATAACAACAAATTTGAAAGAAAAAAAGATTTAAAAATACAGATTTCAGTATTCTGAGGCTCTGAGCCCCATTTATTTTCCTCACGGACGGCAAAAAAGTCAGACATTATACAATTTAAAATAAAACAATAATCGTGGCTTGATATTGAGTAAGAAAAGGTTTTTATGAACCACACAGCTTCTGGTCTTCCAAGACCCGACCGGACAAAAAGACGTGTGCAGGCACGAAACATACTACCAATAGAAATACATTGCTTTTAAAATCGTTCTGTGTGACACGAAAATAATGGGAAAATCGTGTTGGTGAACACGATCAAAAGATTAAATTAATTTCGAGACTATTACACGGAATGCCGTGAGACTGGGTTGAACAATAACGTAAAAAGAGTCTTACCGTTATTCTCGCTGCACTGTAGTCATCCGATATTTATAACAACACTTGGAAGAAAAACTCTTCGCTAATCTAAACATTATAAAATGTTTTTCACACATTTCTCAAGTTGCGCCTCTGTTCCCGAATCAAAACAAAGATGGCGGCTCGCCGGCTAACTGAATAGTTAATAACGTACAAACTAAGGTAAGCTAGTTATATTAGCAGGAAACTATACGGCCCAGGTGGTTCAATATCCTGCTCACCTTGTCAAGAACCTGCTCACACTAGCTGTGTTATTAAAACAGTAATGTGGTCTCAGAGGTTGGGAAACCTACAACAAGTTAAAAGAAGAGTTAGTTGGACTTAGATGGGTAAGTCAAATTAATGTTTGCCAAGACAACATAACAGGCCTATTGGGCCTGTTGTTTCTCAACTTGTGTTAACTCCCCCCTACTGTAACTCCCTCAAATACAATTCTGGTAAACAGTGTAATTCCAGAGTTGTTAACTAACCTGAATTATTTACTAACCTTAAGAGTATTTCTCCTGGGCGGTTTGTTGAAAGATCTTCTCTATTTTTTACTAAGTCCAGGCCTGTTTTTGCTGGTCAGTAAATAAAGTTCCACTTTGAAACATACTCAATAAAATCCCTAAATGAATCATTTAAATAGGTTACTTGTATTTAGTGTAGTGATGATGCTTAAATCAGAGTAATGTTCCCAGTTCAACAACAATCTGTTGACAATGACCACTCATGGTATTAACGATGAAACAAGCAGAGATCTTTCAGCTAGAAATTCTAAATGTATGCTGCCATTACAAGCTTCCTTCTAACCATATTAAACAAAAAACCTTATTATGTGGATCAGTGCTCCAAAGAAACATTCAACATTTGTAAAATGTTAGATCCAAATAATGCAGGAGCTTTCGTAGTCATACAGAGAATACCAAAACAGTTATTACTTGTTAGACGCTTTTATCCAAAGCGACTTGCTCAATACTGTGAACAATCCCCAAAGGAGCAATTTGGGGTGAAATATCTTGCCCAGTGACACAACGACATGCTGACTGCAGTGGGGTTTGAACTTGCGCTTCCCTGTGCCGGACACCAACGAACTAATCCACTGCGCCACACCTTCCTTTGGTTATGGTGTATGTACTTTTATCTATGCCGCTAGAACAACATTAAAACATTGTGGGAGATAATTATGTTAAAGATTGGCTTTGACAGGGCTTTATAAAGTTGTTCTCAAATTCGTGTAAAGGTCATTTGTTTGATAAGAGGAAAATTCATTCAGTATTAAAGGTCAGCCACATGTCTCTTGAGCAACATAAGATTAGCGGAGACTGAGATAAGAAATATACTCCCCATTTTGGGCATATTTTATTGACTTGACTACAGTGTTGAAGAAGTGCTTTTTAATTCTTCCTGTTTGTCCACTCTAACATTTTAAGAGAAGAAAAACTCATTCTGTTCATTCACATAATGTTTCTAAACTAAAAAAAACACACACCCTTAAATATTTGCATTTGCTTTATGTTTACCTAAAAGACTATACATCATATTCAGTTTAGTGTATCTTAATGACACGCAATAGTTTGATTGTTTAATATTAACTTTGAATATCAAAGGTCTCGTTTATACAGTATTGGCAGTCAAAGAAAGGTCAAAGATTTGAAATGTATTATCAACCTTACCTCACTGATCACCGCTGTATTTGTACAAAGCAATTACATTTAGTGCAGTACTATCTTGGATGAGTGATAAGAGGTTTGTAAAGATTACATCAGAGCAAATTTAAAGTTGTGGAACATTTTCTTCCTATATGGTTCAATTTGTTTGACTAGTATTTTTGATTTGTCTCAGCTTGGTGTACAGGGAAGCACAAAACAGACATGATTGTATTCAAGTGACATTTAAAAATATATATTTCAGTTCTAAGTGTTGCATGCTTAGTTTATGCAGTCCTGCACTGATGACTATCCCCCCTTTGCAAACAGATATATATATATATATATATATATATATGACATATGGTTCGATGTAATGGTTCTGTTAAGGGCAAAAGCATCTTCCATACAGTGGGTACTGCCTTTAAAAAAATTGAGCTTTAAACAGCCACATCAGCATTGAGATTAGATGAGGAGATAACCGAGCTCGGTTTAAAAGGAGTGGCAAACTTTGAGTACGACACTCCTTACTGCAGACTTGTCCAGCTCACTCTCACAGCCACCATGACTTTCAACGGCAACTGGAAGATTGATCGCAATGAAGACTATGAGAAATTCATGGAAAAAATGGGTGAGTTATATCAAACCAGGCTGATTACATGCTATATAATTCAAGCAAATCATTTTAAATATGTGGAATTTGATGCATTGGTTTAAAAAAAAAAAAAAAAGTCACAACTAGTCATTTTGAATGCATGTAACATATGTAATAAGCTGTCTGTGGCTCTTTTTCTGCTGTAACAATATAAATTTCCCCTCTGTGGGACTAATAAAGCTATTCTGATTATGATGAACATGAACTCTCTGTGTTATGAGATATAATGGAAGCACTGTATAACAGTCAAGAAAGCACTGATGATGTTTTAATTTAATCAAGATCTTTGTGTTTCTGTGTGAAAATGTCATTTGTGCATCAAACTGATAGTAATGTGTGTGTTTTATTTAATCACTTTAAAAAAGTTATTTGTTAAAGTGTGACCATAACTGCTCAAATAGATGGCCAAATACTGGAGCTTAAGTCTCACTGAACATGTTTGCCTTTTGACTTACAGTACACTCTACAAATAATACACAATCAAAGGAACTACATGTGCTTGTAAAGTAATTAAATCCTGTCAAACTTCCTCTGATTGTTCAGAGCCCATTGAACATATTTTCTATGTGTTTGTTTATAGGAATTAACATGGTGAAGAGGAAGCTGGCTGCTCACGACAACCTCAAGGTAACCCTCGAACAGACTGGAGACAAGTTTCACGTCAAGGAGACCAGCGCCTTCCGCAACCTGGAAATAGACTTCACCCTGGGGGTCACCTTCGAGTACAGCCTGGCCGACGGAACGGAACTATCAGTAAGAAAAAGAGTGGATGCACCTTTAACATCATACGTAGCACTTTATAGTTAACATAGTAACTGACCGTTAGAGGAAAAGACTCCAATTCTCTCCTATTACCTACGTTTTAGTCATTAAGTGTAATCATCGGTTGAGTTCTTAATACTATAACATAAGGTTGGTATTTCGATCACTTTTAACTACAAGTAGGAGTTCATTTGTTAGCTCAAGGTTTGACTTATGACTTTCATTGTGGAACCCTTGTGCCCTGTTGATTCGTACTCACTACAGCAAACAGTGCCAGTCATAAAACTGTCAACCTTCTGCAAAACTTTTCACACCTAGTATTCCTTTTAAATAAGCTTTATGTTTCACTCCACAGGGTTCATGGACCATGGAGGGAGACATGTTGAAGGGGGCCTTCAACAGGAAGGACAACGGAAAGCTACTGACAACAACCAGAATCGTCCAAGGAGATGAACTTATACAGGTGTGGTGAATTTATATTATGCATGCAAACTATGACAACAATCCACATTATATAACAAACACTTTGATCAGAAGGGATACCTGTCAGAATCTGATGTCTATATGTCATATATATTCCCTTATATGTTATGGATAAGGACTTAAAATGCAGAAATTAATTATTAATCAACCCCCTGATTACTCAGGCAGAGACTATAAAGTAAATATATTAACAGAATCTGACCTGATCTTTTCTCACCAGAGCTACAACTACGAGGGCGTGGACGCAAAGAGGATTTTCAAGAAGTATTAGATCAAACTGATCAACATACCTTGAAAATAAGATGTTTGACATCAGGATTACATATAGTATTGTGTTGAATTTCATTTTCTTATACCAACACATCCTGTAAAACATGCACTACTTGTAATGCCCAGAAAGTTTATGAAACATATTTGAATGTCACATAATTGTGATACTTGCAGTAATAAAGCCATACTGTAACTACCTTTATTCTGTGTTTTTTTTCTTCAGTTTTATGTTGAAATTATATTTATTTGTGATAATCTGTGGATGTTTTTGTGGAGTTAAAAAACATACACAGTGAACTGACTAATTTGAGAGTGATACAATCATTTAAACTTTATTCAACAATGAATACAAATAAATATATATTATCCACAAAAATACAAAGCGCAGACAGATGTAATGTGTCTTTAAATTAATCTGTTAGTACACAAGTAATGAAGCATTCACTGAAGCACAGACAACTCAATTCAAAAGTAAATTCAGGCCAAATCTGAACCACACACAGAGGTATGACATGAGGATTCAGTGATACCCAGGGGGCAAAACCCAATTTTTTAGGGAAATCAGACATGGAATGTTTTAAAAGGTTGTCCACCAGAAATGATATCCAAGACCTTGAAGAATCACAACCTGGTTGGACAACCCGGTCAAATAGCTGGGTCAATATCACTATAAAGTAACTTTGGTGTCCCCATCAGAATCACTCAGTTATCATGAAAATGTAGCAGAATAATGAAACTCTGAGGTCTTATTATAAAAGGCCAAACATTTACACACATATCAGTACAATGATAAGTCTCTTGTGTTTCCTTCATTTTATACCTTATTTTTTCATTGGATGTACGTGATTTTGGCATGTCCCACACACTGCTCTGCTAACTACAGTGTGTGTATAATAAGTGGTTAAATTATACTACATACCACATGGTTTTATTGTCCTCAAAGAGTTATTTGATAAAACGAGTCATTTTTATCATGTATATTCTATTTTCATAATAATATTGAACATTTTTCATGTGTCCCTGTCATTTGCTGTCCACCCTGTCATTAAGGGGTAACTGCCCCATAAACAACATCTGATGTTTTCAGTGACATTACTACCACCATTTTGTCTTTCCTCAATGGAGGCTGAGACATTGGCTAGTTGCAAAGTACATTTTTTTACTTATATTTTGACATTTTAATCATTATGTGTGTAGTTGGATGTGGTCAAGCTTAACATGTCCACTCTGTCATAGGGAAATGTCAATTAATATAAAAACTAGGGCCGGGACTTTAACGCGTTAATTAAGATTAATTAATTACACAAAAATTAACGCGTTAAAAAAATTAACGCATTTTAATCGCACTTATTTTTGCACCGCGGAACGTTTCTCACTGGATGAGTTTCAGGCGTACCGATTATACTGGAGCACCAACTAACGTTCATGACTTCAGACAACAACAAACCACAGTGAACAACAGTGGGAAATATTGTTTTAAAAAACGGACGGATGGAAGCGTTGATAAGAGCACGGTTGTGTGCAAATTATGCAAAAAGGAATTCGCATATCACCGCAGCACATCAAGCCTCAAGTATCACCTCAATGCAAAACATATAGCAGCTAGCGTGGACGTTAGCCTCTTTTATCGCGTTCACACCATACAGTCTATGGTTCACACCAAAAAGAGCCGGTACTAAAATTAGTTCATGAGAACCTTTTTACCCCCACGAAAGTCCCTGCTAGAGAGCAGAGAGCTGCTAGAGAGCAGGGACTTTCGTACGGCTCTTTTGTGAGAAAAGAGCTATATTTCTGATTGGCTGGGCGGATTGCAAACCACGCCCCGTAAAACTCCCAAAAAGTTTGGTGAAGCCGCCATTTTATTATCCTCGCATTAGCATTATTAGCATTAGCCCAGCGCAGAAACGCAGAGAGACTAACTTATGGCAACACAAAATAAAACATGGGAGCGGTGGAGATGAGGAGGTGTCGGCGTTCTGGCGATTTACTCGGAAGGCTGCTGGGACTCCCAGCAGCTTCTACTGAAGCCAGTCCCCAACTCCGGGGACTTCCGGCCGGGGACTTTGGGCGGCAGTATACGCCGTGAAGTGGTTTGCGGCCTGCCAGTAAACCCAAAGCAGAAGAAGAAGAAGTGACGTCAGCGGCTTCATTTGTTCTCATGAACTAAGTTCTCATGAACCTTTGTGGGAAAAGTACTGCGGTGTGAATGCGCCTAATGGTATACTAAAATCCATGTGAAAAAAATTGCTTCTCACTGTTCTCAAGTCAAATATTTATATGCGATTAAAAATGCGATTAATTTCGATTAATTAATTACAAAGCCTCTAATTAATTAGATTAATTTTTTTAATCGAGTCCCGGCCCTAATAAAAACCTTTCAGAAATTCGAAATATATTTGTTAAACAGTACAGTACACAGTCACCTTGGTAACTGAATCATGTTGCTAACTGAAGGTCCACCATTTACTCATTAAATGCTAATATTAGTCAAAAATGTCCACCCTGTCAGCAAGCCTTCCATAAATAAATGGGGAAGTCTCAAATGCACCGTATGGTGATATTGACTCTACTGGAAAGCTACAGTGAGGGTCCAAACACTGCAACCTCTATATGCTCCTGGGAACCGAGGAAAAAAAGTCTCTTCCAATTTTTTTGTATATCTTTTTTTTTAGGGTTGAAAAACATCTTGCAATTTAGACTTTTTAAAATTTAATTTAATTTTAAATGTTACAGTATGTCCACTTCAGAGGACGTCAAGACCATATTATTGTGAAAAGTCCACCATAATTAACAGATAAACTATGTAACACATTATGCTTATAGAGTGATCTTAATACAAGAATGCATTCACCTTTATATAAACAATAAATAAGTAATTCATCTGAACATTGCTGTATATTTGATCACTAAATAACTTGTTTGGTTTTTGGAATGCTGCCAAATCTGCAAAGACTTTGTAATCAATGTACTGGGAAAAGTACCTCATTGGACTCCAGTCGGCACGGGCTGTAGGGTCATCTTAACTAGATGTATGGATGTGTTCTCCAGTTGACCATGCTCATAGGGACACACTTGGCATTCCTGAGGCATTCTCATTTTTCATGGCTCCACTTAAAATAAAAACAACAATAAGACATACGTGCTACTCTTGGCCCACAGAGGGCCATGTCTTTCCTGCTCGTCCCTATCTGTCTCTATGTCTGTATCTGTGCACTCATGGAGCCTCCTGCATCTTTTTCTTCTTCTTCTTGACCCTCTTCTATTCAAGGTGTGAAAGCCTCATCTCTCTCATCATCTGAGAGCTCAACATCTGAATCTCCCTTAACTATCTGGTACAGAAAAGGTCTGCTCCAGTTCTGTCTCCAGCAACAATATTGAGTCATTAAGTCCATGAAGATTGTCCTGATGTCCACTAGAATGGACATTTTTAAAAGAACTACATGCCCATTGTCCAGACTCCAGAGACCATCCAAATTATTTGCATGGCAGGATTTCTGGCTTGGCGATGTGTGCGTTCTTGTCAATGATGGTTGACAAGAACATGTTCAAAAGTTAACATGATGGTTCTCCCGAGACCTCACCATAACTGTGTATACATCCAAAGCTGATCACTTTGAGGGTTCTGATCTGGGCAAACTGAGAGCATACAAGTTCCTGAACAGAGAATGCATTTCTGCTGCACCTGAAAAGGTTTTCTATGTTATAGGACAAGGCAAACCGAGTTAAACATATCTCTCTTAAGTTGTTCCAGATAAGTTGTTAGTGTCAAATAAATACCCTTTTATTATTTGTGCAAATCAATTTCTTTGTTCTTATGCAAAATATCCTATTTTGATCATGAAATAAACAAAATTCCTTCTGGCAAAACATTTATTTCACTTTTCACATATCTCTTCTTAGTTATTAACTGAAAATTGGCTTTGCCCATATGACACAATTATCAAAAGTTGAACACAAAATAATCATTCACATGGCCCAGAACTAGAGAAATTTGAATTTCTTAAGAAAAAAAAGGGAAAAAAGTAACCTACACTGAATATACAGTACAAATGTTTTCAAAGTACACATGGTGGTATATTCATGGTAGTGTCCTAGAAAGCTTTTTGCACACATAATAAAAGGGTATTGATTTGACATTAACAACTTGATGTCAACTTCCAGATAAGTTTAACTCTGTTTGCCTTGTCCTATAACATAGAAAACCTTCAATTAAAGGGTTTTGCAAAGAAAGTGGTGACCATATTGAATATCGCTGCCTGTAGCTTTCCAGTAGTTCACCGGGTTGTCCACCCAGGTTGTGATCTTTGAAGGTCCTAGATATCATTTCTGGTGGAAAACCTTTTACAACATTCCTTGTCTGTAAAATGACTTTGCCACCTGGGTATGATGAATAGTTTCACATCAGCCAGTAACTTATCAGATAAAATCAGTGACATCCTGGGGAAAGTTCACCTTTGTTCTTGAGTGTTGATGCAATACAGCCTAATTAGGTTCTGTCCCTGTATTTTTAGTATAAGATAAATTAAATACTTTGATGCGATGCCAACTGTGACGTTATGTGACACAGGTCAAACATACTCTTTGTCAAACAGGCCCCCGATTACGTAAAGCCGTACTTCGAATGACGACTTTGAATCGGGTGCATGAGGAAAAACGATTATCAGCTTCCTTTTTCAAGTTTGCACGCAATCAGACACAGAGGCATGCAACACATTGAGGCTCTTTTAAGGTTATAATCACAGATTTTCCCATTTTCTGCAGCTGAAGTTTAAACATTTCAAACTTCTGCTTATTGCACCTGGAGGCAGAGTGAACAGTGAGTTTACAGCTGTTGCCCTTTTAGCTTCCAAGTCTAAAAAGGGCTTTTAGGAATATTGTAACTGGAACACATCCCTTCCTACCTTTTACACAATAACACACAGGCACACACAGTACAATGGTGCACACAGAGGGGTGTCATCCGATATGTCACTCACTACCAGCATTGCATATTTAAAAAGTATAGCATGACATCCTTGGTCCCTTTCCATAATCACCTTCAGTCCCTAACTATGGTTTCACTCACAAAACACTTGTCCCAATGAAAAATGTCAAGGCACTCTTGATACAACTGAAGACAGATTGTTCAAAATGTAAAATAGAACTTGTGTGTCTTGATGAAGAAAATAAATTATAACTAATATAATCAATAGTCACAAATGG